AAAAATTGAAGGCATAAGAATAGAAATTCAATTAGGTTTAGCTTAAATGCAAAAATATATCAATTTTTGAGTTTGATATAACTTATCGAACGAATTGAATGCCTTTAATTTTTAAAATTTATAAAAAATCTTTGTTTAATACTAACAAAAATTTTTTTATTTATCGAATTTCAAAATATTAAATAAATTATTTATCTTTTCTGCTTATTATTATTATTTCTTTTTTACTTAATTGAAAATATATACCTGGCTGGACTTCAGTAGACGGGTGAGGTGTTGTAGGATATCCTTTGTAGTTGGCTGCTTGTTCCGACTCCACCTTCATAGTACCATCTTCTAACTTCAATCCAGTGCTTGGACGTAAGTTCTCTGCTGGATGGCCATCGGGATGTGGCACGTAATTATGTCGTAGCTCCGTATCTAATTCCATATTTCCCTCCATTCGGAGTCCGGTTGATGGTCGAGCATTGCTGGCACGTCGACCCTCTGCATAAGCCACATATTGGTCGTGTTGTTCGGAAGTTAAAACAGATGGACAATCGGGACACGTGAATGGCCCTATGTGACTACCATGTCTTTCGGCTATTTGCCTTTCCCTAGGCGAGTTTTTAAAATTCTCTGAATATTCGGCACTAAATTCCGCGTCACCCTCCATCTGTAGTTCATCTTTGGGCACCGCAGCATGTCGCCTATTCACGCTCATTTCCTCCGGTGTTTTATATGGTACCTCGAAACGAAACCTATATTCAGTATCAAACGCGACGGGACTGTCCGACTGTCCAAATGGAGGTGCTAGCGGCAGTTGATCGAACCCAAGTCCTTTACGCCGATATTTGTGTAGCTGATCGACAGTTACGAATGGCGGACAACGTTTATGATCGTACCAATGACATAGACGACCACCCGATGACTGTTGTGGGTGCGAATTTGACACGGGTCGTTCTTGACGCTGTTTCTTACTCTTACGGAACCTAAATGTTTATTTTAGTTAATTATTGACGGTGTTTTATTGCGTTTTATTGATCATATCATTAAGTAGACATCACTCAAACATAAATATGCG